TTAACGGGACAAATATGGAAAGTCAATTACAAAATACATTCTAAGAGTTAAATGATGATTTTTTATATAAAATAACAGTACAACAAATCTTTACAAAATTAGTTTTGCATACTAAAAAGACTGGTTTTTTAATACAATTTATGATGGGGTTTGAATTACTAGATTGGGCCATAAGACACTAGGGTTTAACCACATTAAAAGATTAAACTCAATCTATTACTTAGTTAAGCTCAAGTGCTTATATCTCGATTACTTTTCTATTCAACTTCTGATGTGGAATAGACTCTAACCCTCCCCCTCAAATAGATGACCGTGCCATTTTGAATATAATCGGTTGACAACTTGTAAATGGACTTTCATTCCCTTGATTTTTTCAGCGCCAACATCTAAAGGATTACCTACGAGCCACATTACTTATGGACTTCCAGACGAACAATTGTTAAACACGTTACAGACTGTTGGATATACATTCCACATAGATAACTGGGCTAAAGACTGGGGATGCTAGGAACGAACGTCTAGACAGACACATTAACAAATGAGTTGGCTAAAATACGCTCTAGTACCATGATAAATTTAGAATAGGATAGGGCTAACTGGACTGCGTCATAAGGCACTTGAGTTGAACCACATTAAAAAATTAAATCAAATCGATTACTAAGTTAAACCAAGAACTTATATATCCATTATATTTTCACACTTTTTCGATGTAAGATACTTTTTAACACTCTCCATCAAGTGGACAACCAGACTATTTTGAATCTAATCGGTTGACCACTTACAAATGGACTCTCATTCCTATGATAGAATTTATGATGAAGTATGGACTACTGGATTGTGCCATTGGACACTTGAGTTAAATCACATCAAACGATTGAATTCAATCGATTACTTAGTTTAGCTCGAAAGCTTAATTATATATCGATTACTTTTCTATTCAACTTCCGATGTAGGATAGACTCTAAAAGTTTTATTTTTATTTATTTATTTATTAACAAAGACTTCTTTGTATATTGGATTGAACTATAAATGAATTGACTGATCTCAAAACAACATTAAATTTTGTACTTTTGTAGCTCAAAATAAGTCAAAATGGTTGAAACAAATACCGCACTAGTTTGTACGGAGTATAAATTAAACTTTGCTTGAACCAAGGATTTTCGTTTTCAATTACGCAATGCAGAAGGTATAGTATTTCACCGTATATGGTTAATTAATTTGGGGAGTAGATTTCCTCTTTCCAGCTCGCTCGCACTCATTCTGGACCTGTTTGAGAATAACGTTAGAGATTAGCGTTATCGTTTTGGATAAAATGTTAACGGTACAGATTACTTTGAAAACGCTAACGCTAAACGCTGTCCGTAGTTAGCCTTTTCAAAACGTTAACGCTAATCTCTAACGTTATTCTCAAACAAGTATTCTATCTTGTTATTAGAATATAAAAAGTTTTTTTTGGGCCACAGTCACACATTATATTTTTAGTTGAATTGGTTTCTTGAGATTGTTTCAAAGTTTTATTGACCAATATGTCACAAGTTCGAACATCACCACATTCAATTCTGAAAAAAATGAACTAAGATTTCATGTGCAAAACTTGATACTATAAATATTCTTTGCTTATTTTCATATATCTTTCATTTATAAAATAATATATCCATGTCACCACTACTTTTATAGACTTTTGATGTAATTTTTAAACATATATAATTTATATTTAAATTTTACACATATAGCTATTAGGAATAAGTGAAATTTGCACTAAATAGGACTAAAACATAATGACTTTCCTAATCTAGTGCAAGAACTTTTTTATTCCCTAAATAGGACTTAATAATGTCTTCGTGGAAGGAATAATGCCCAGCAATGATGGACATTTACTTGAATAATGACTAATTGATAATGACCAAATGTCCTACATTGGAAAATAAAAACATATGGTCCTATTTTGGGAAAGTCATTATGTTTTAGTCCTATTTAAGTAAATTACTCTAGGAATAATTGATGTACTAGGAAATAGAATATTATTATTCATTACCTCCCTCATTACATTACTAATTTATTGTACTTTTACTATAATTCTTCTCCTGCTTAGATTACAATTATCTCCTGTAATCCCTATTTATAGGGATGTATGTTTCATTATTCAATAAGATCAATTATTACAAAATTGTACCATGGTACCAGAGTTAAGGTTATCAAAAGCCTAGCCGTTTCTTTTCTGATCGAGCACATCGCCGGTCTCTGTTCACGGCGGTTGATCGTCCGACAACATGACGTTACTGACCGATTAGGACGAACGTGTCTATCACCTGTTTTCCATTATCCTTCTTTCTCTCCAAAAAAACCATTATCTCCCTCTCTTCCAAAAATAATCATGTGTGTGATCGAAGAATGGGAAAGTTGCATTTGTCATTATTTTTTTCTAGAGATTGAGAGCATAAAAAACGATAGAGAAGCAGAAATTCAGCAAACGTATTCTCAAGCTCGTTCATACCTGCTTCCGCCGGCTCAATTCCAGTACTTGTGCTCCAAGCTGCTCCTCGTTTCCGATGATTAGCTTGTGGGGATATTAAGAACAATCAATGTATTACGAAATAAAATATTATTATTTATTACCTTTCTTATAACATTATTTCTTTATTGTATTGTTACTATAACTTGTGCCCTTCATAGATTAAAATATTTTTTTTGTAATCCCAATATTTAAATATGTATCTTTTATTATTCAATAAAACTAATTATTATCAAATTATATTAGTAGCAATAACAGAGTATATTAATTTGATAATAATTTTTTTTATCAAACTTCGTGAACTCGAAAATTAAATTTTAGGAGGTTGGAAGTAATATTTGAGTTTTTGGTTGGACAAACAAATACGTAGTAAAATGGAATGGAACACAAAGTATGTGCATGAAGACACATGGCTCCCAACAACCCCACCAAAATCCAAATCATGTTGAAAGAAAGAAGCTAGATTCATTCCATTTTGTGCAATCCCACTTGATATGACGGAAAGCTACATCTATAACAATTAATTAATTAAAGCGATTCTTATACTCGTATATAGACGAACTAACCCCAGTGATTATTCGACTTCAATTTCATTAGATACTGCTTTCTTCACCGTATATATAAAAAAACAAAAGTCGTGTTCCTAGCAGTGATGTAATATTACGATCGGATTTTATTTGTCGGGATAGTGTTGTACATACTTAATTTTTTCTTTATTTGTACATTTTATAGTTTTTGCAAGTTCGTTTTTGCTTCTTTTGTTCCAAAAATAATTTCATTACTATTCATATCATCAAATTTTGATTTTTTTACAAAACTACTCTACGATTACCCTCGATTTTTTAGTAATAATTTAAAAGTTCCACATGATTTGAAATATAATCCAAAGTATCCTCAATTTTAGGATTAAAACTCTCATATCTCACATCACCCGAAATATACTTTAGAGGTCCTTAAATTTAGTGGTCATGTATTTCAAGCGCACATTTTGTCTATTTGGCCGTTGTGATTAAAAGTTCTGGAAGTTTGACAAATACTAAATTTTACCTTTATAATGAATATTTTATTAAATTTAAATAAAATATTTCAATTTTTCAAAGTGAATGAACTTTCAATATTAACGCCTAAATGGAGGGAATGTATGCTCGGAGTATAATATCACAACCTTTAACGACCCTGGTGTATATTTAAGATAATGTGGGGCTTGATAAATTTTTACCAGAAAATTGAGAGATACCCCAATGTATATTTCAAATAATGTGGAACCTGACAATTATTACCAAAAAATTGAGAATATCCCAAATTCATTTTTTTGTTTTTTATGTCTATTTTCACTAGCTAGTTTTATAAAAATAGTATGCTCTTGTTAGATGTTTTATACCACTGCAAAACCTCAATTTGACTTCACAATTATTATAGCAAAATTAAAAATTGTATTGACTTTCGAATTGTCCTTGACATAAAGTAAGAGAAAGTAATTAGAAGTGAATGAAATAAAAGAGAGTGTAAAAACTAATTGAAAAGAAAGAAATAAAAACTTAGGTGTAATATGGTATTTTTGGTGAGGAAGTCATACCAATTACCGAAAATGAGACTTTTAAGTTTTAACTTTAAAGGCCTAATTTGGAAAAAAGGAGTCGAGAAAAAGACCAGAGTAGGAGTAAAATGTTGAAAATATATCAGAATAGAAATTTATATTTTTATTCTCAAAATAGGAGTTAAAATTAATTTACATAACTAATAACCATGAGCATGTAATTACCAAAATATATAATAAAATGCACATGTATACTCAATGGGCCTTAGGCCAAATAAAAAAGATTTTGGTTTCTAGAATTATTTTTTAAGAAGAACAATATTACTTGAGAAATTCAAAATGATTGAGTGTGACATGTTATTATTATACTGCATATATTTACTTAAAATTGAAAGTTTAATTCACTAAATTGATTATTTTTTACAATAATATGTTTTTAATACTATTAGAGAAAAAATAATTATGGGCCCCCCTTGTGAAATGGGCTCTAGGCCACAGCCCCCTATGCCTACCCCCAGGACCGGCCCTGGTATACTGCCACATTACCACAATACGATTATTTAGGAAATCGAAATATGAAAATCCTATTCTGATACTTTCTCTATATTTTACTACTATTTAGAGTGATTTCTTAAAAGTTTTTAAGTTACGTGACCAAGGGAACATAACATAACTTTTAGTTACGTGGCCAAGGGAACACAACATAACTTTTGTACCAAGTTTAATTTTTTTTGAAAAGAACATCAGAATACCAATAATTCAAATCAGAGTACAAAGTCTCATAAAGAAATCCTGGAGGGGCATGAATCCACTCCAAACAATCACTCAGAATCAGACGCTTTAGCCAACATGTGAGCCACCTGATTCGCTGATCTTTTAACAACTGAAAGCGTGAGAGAAACAAAGTCTCGCATCACTATCTTACAATCAGAAATAATATCTAAGAAATAAGAATGTGAATGAGTTTCAATATCTTCTTGAATTGCTTTAAATACTACATCGCTGTCGATTTCGACACTTAGATTCATTTGTCCAACCGGCATCCTAAGCCACCTCAATGCCTCCCGGAGTCCTGTTGCTTCATCCATTTGTGCATCTTCCAGCCGCCCTAGTCCGAAGTGAGCTCCTCGCAAAAAATTCCCTTGATCATCCCGCACCACCACTCCAACTCGGGCCACACTTGTACGTATGTTAAAGCTTGCATCCACATTGCACTTTAAGACCCCTCTCACCGGTGCTCTCCATTTATGCATCCGGTCCCCCGACCCCAATCGGGCTTCTAAGGACCCGGGACGTGCTGCTTGCCACTCTTGTAGTCCTCGGATAGCTCTTTCCGCCACAAAGGTCATGCTCAAGCTTCTGTTCTTCCAAACAAGTTGATTCCGTTGTTACCAAGTTTAATTTCATATCAATTGAATTTAAAATAATAAAATCATGATTGAAACTGTAATTATATTTTAACTTTTATTTCGAGAATAAAAACATAGAATTTTTATTTTGATATATTTTCAATGTTTTACTCTTACTTTAGTCTTTTTCTATTTAAAATACCATCAAATAAGTATTGTAATTTGTGGTTGGAACATCTTCCTCGGACAGAAAGAGTATATATATTTGAAGTATAGGTAAGGCCTCTCTATAGTCTATACTAACTCTCAACACACATTTATTTAGAAAAATAATGTTACATATATTTTTGGTTAATGTAAATTTAGCGAGTTTTGCTTTTAGTGTATCTAAAATATACCAGTATATATTTCAATTATTCTTATGAAAAATTGATATTTTTTAAAAAGTCCCCCAATTTAAATACTCTGTGTATGTATTGATCACTTAAAAATTTATAAATTTTGTTTTTAGACCCTTATTCATATGTTTAGAAGCTTAATAGAATAACTACATTATTTTAAAAAAAATCATTGAAAATTTTGTAAAATGAATACTTTTAGATAAAAATCTATAGCTAAATCAATATTTTTTGTAAAATTCTATGCTATATTTTTACAATTAAATTCATTGAAAATTTTGTAAAACAAAATGTTAAGGAAATAATATGAAATAATATTTGTATAATATTACTCAATGCATGCATGGTTATGGGGTGAGGAATGGAACACCATACGGCACTCTTAAGGAAATATTATTGTGTTGACCTTTTGTATACTTGGTAGAGGTTACTTTGTTTTCCTTTGTATACATATACATGCACATGATGTTCTTGGTCGCAGAGCATAAACGAATGAATACAGAAGGATTATTTGATCCTAACATGGTATTAGAGTCATAGTTTTTTTCCCAACATTTTTTTCGTGCTTCTTGCTGAAGAATCACATATGGCATCAGAAGATTAGTCAGCCTCGAAGAAACCTGCCGAGGACGTTCCACAACGGCGTACAATATCCCCGTACGATTTGACTGCTAATGATAACCCTAGGCTAATCATAACCCAAGTTATTTTGAAGGGCGAGAACTACGAGGAATGGGTGAGAGCTATCTGTACCGCTCTTCGGGCTCGCAAGAAGTTTGGTTTCGTGGATGGTTCGATTCCACAACCGCCAGAGGACTCCGATGATCTTGAAGATTGGTGGACGAACAATTCCTTGATTGTGTCATGGATACGAAACACTATTGAATCGTCTCTCTGCACTATATGATTTCCCACATGGAAATGGCTAGCGAATTGTGGGAAGATAACAAAGTGCAATTTTTAGTGGTTAATGGACCACAGATTCAACAAATAAAGCGGGAGTTGTCAACTTGCGATCAACGCGGGTTGAATATTGCGGCCTACTATGGAAAACTCAAGAAGCTATGGGATGACCTCAACGACATTGATCCTTATCCCGTGTGTATTTGTGGCAAATGCACGTGTAACATCGCACAACAATTGGAGAAAAGAAGGAACGAAGAGAAGGTCCATCGGTTTTTGATGGGTTTAGACGGAGCAATCTACGGTCATCTTCGGTCCACGCTGTTATCACATGAGCCCTTCCCCACCACGGCACGTGTTTACCGCGTGTTCACTCAGGAAGAAACTGCCAGGGCTTCACACGTTCGTGATCGCCCGGAGAATGTTGCTTTCGTAACCCGTGCCAATCCTGCCGAGGGTCATCGTGACAAAAATGTGACCTACGGCTACTGCAAGAAACTCGGCCATGACAAGGATAATTGCTTCCAGTTGCACGGATATCTCGAAGGATGGGGGTCGCGCACTCGTGGTGGAGGAGGTCGGGGCCGTAGCCGTGGTCGAGGATTTTCCTCTGGACGTGGAGCAGGACCGGCCATGGCCCATGCAGCAACTGTGACTCCCGTCCATGGTGGCGGCCAAGAACCAGCAGTGACTACCGTCCCTACTCTTACGGCGGAACAATGGGATACTTTCCAGTCCTTACTTGCGTCCGTCAAAGATGGTTCTACTGAAAAGTTGTCAGGTATTCATATCACTAAAACATGGATTCTTGATACCGGGACTACTAATCATATGACGGGAGATCACAGCAGTTTGTTTGATATACATTAAATATCCAGATGTTGGATAAGGTTGCCCGACGGAAAAAGGGTTGCGGCAACGACCACTGGCCGAGTATATTTGAATTTGATGGGGAATTCGATGGGGAATTATGTGCGTTGATTTCTGTCTCTCAGCACATAACGGAGACTAACTGTGTGGTTAAATTCGATGGGGAATTATGTGTGTTACAGGACCGTGCCACGATGCAGGCGATTGGTGCGGGTAGGCGAAGTGAGGGTCTGTATTACTTTCAATAGTCTCAAGTGGGTTGTGCAATGTCGACAATAAAAGGATGCGCGTTTGATCTATGGCATCAACGTTTGGGTCATCTGTCTCCCAAAGTTTTATCTTTCTTTCCTCTAGCTAATGATAGTAAAGCTAGTGTTTTGAATAAAGAACCATGTTCTATTTGTTTACGTGCTAAACAATCTCGTGCAAGTTTTCCCATTAGTACCAATAAAACAACTCACTTGTTTGAACTTGTTCATATTGATGTATGGGGTCCTTATCGGACACCAACTATGGATGGTTTTAAATCTTTTCTCATCATTGTGGATGATTACTCTCGGGGTACGTAGGTCTATCCGTTACGGGCAAAATCTGAGGTCCCTACCATTTTCGTCAGTTCTGTGCCATGATCACTCGTCAGTTTGATGCCAAACTAAAAACCATACGTAGTGACAATGGAACAGAGTTTGAATGCCTCGATCCTTATTTTCATGAACAAGGGATTCTGCATGAATGTTCTTGCCGTGCTACACCTCAAAAAAATGGACGAGTCGAGCGTAAACATCAACACATTTTGAATGTCACTCGGGCTCTCTGTTTTCAGGGTTCTTTGCCTCTTGAGTTTTGGGGAGAATGCATTCTCACTGCCGCGTATCTCATCAATCGTACACCGTCCATTTTATTACATGGAAAGACTCCCTATGAAATAATTTCTTGTAGTAAACCATCTTTCTCTCATCTACGGTTTTTGGATGTTTATGCTATGTTCATAATCAAGATCGTCTCGGAGATAAGTTCGAATCACGTAGCACACCTGCCATGTTTGTGGGTTATCCCTTTGGGAAGAAAGGGTGGCACGTGTTTTGTAAAGACACGGGCAAATTTCTTATTTCTCGTGACGTGATTTTTTACGAAGATGTTTTTCCTTTTCAGGATGTTTCTTCGACTCAAGACCCAGGATCAGCCCCTGCTGCTCTTGAATTCAGGTACATTGATGATGATGATCATGCACGCTCGAACAACATTTTTTGTGCTGGCCCTGATCCTGTGCGTGAGAATCCGGCAGACTCCACTGCCAGTAGTGGAACCGAGAACAGCAGGGCAGCCGATAACAGCATGGCAGATCCTCCGCAGCTGCTGTCCATTCCCCCGACGTTTGAGACCAGCGGCACCATGGCGTCCTTCGCTGCTCCACGTGCAGACAGTGAGTTGGGCCGTGGTCATCGTTCGAGAACTCCAAATGTGCGGCTGCAAGATTACGTCACATACATCGTAACTACGGACAATCACTCATGCCAGTATCCGTTGACAAAGTTCGTTGATTATGCACGTTTCTCAGACTATCACCGGAGTTATTTGGCGAAGATTGATTGTGATACTAAACCTAAGTCTTATCGAGAGGTTGTGCAATCTCCTACTTGGCGTAAAAAAAATGGCTGAAGAAATCACAGCATCAGAAAATAGCAATGCATGGACCTTAGTACCATTTCCCCCTCATACAAAGTTTTTGGGGTGTAAGTGAGTTTTTCGTATCAAACAAAAATCTGATGGTTCGGTTGAGAGGTTTAAAGCTCGGCTAGTGATTCATGGAAATCGACAAGTGGAAGGTATTGATTACAATGAGACCTTTGCTCCTATGGTGAAGCTCACTACGGTACGTGTACTTTTGACAGTTGCCGCTATCCGCCAATGAGAGATCCATCAGATTGACGTTCATAATGCATTTCTTCACGGTGATTTACCTGAGGAAGTATACATGAAGCTCCCCCTGGGTTTCGGCCTCAATCCCCAAAGATGGTATGTAAATTGCGAAAATTACTCGATGGTCTTAAACAAGCACCTCATTGTTGGTTCGCTAAGCTTTCCAAGGCATTACGCCGGTATGGGTTTTGCCAGTCCTATTCCGATTACTCCTTATTTTCTTACAACCGAACTAGTTCGGATATCCATTTTTTGATTTACGTGGATGATTTGGTTATTGCTCGTAATAGTTCCGTGGAGATTGCTCGTTTTAAGACCTATTTGTCTGATTGTTTCCATATGAAGAACTTGGGGAAACTAAAATATTTTCTTGGAATTGAAGTGGCTTGGAATCCAACGGGGATATTCCTTACCCAACGGAAATATGTTCTGGATATTATTACCGAAACTGGGTTGCCTGGTTGTCGTCCTCTTGGTGCTCCAATGGAATAATATTCGTATAATATTATTCAATGCATGCATGGTTATGGGGTGAGGAATGGAACAACATACGGAACTCTTAAGGAAATATTATTGTGTAATTATTATTGACCTTTCGTATACTTGGTAGAGGTTACTTTGTTTTCCTTTGTATACATATACATGCACATGATGTACTTGGTCGCAGAGCATAAACAAATGAATACAGAAGGATTATTTGATCCTAACACAAAAGGGTTGCAAATGTTTTTTAAAGTAAACTTTTGATTTTGAAGTCAAGGCTTGCTTTGATAACAAGGGTTTCATTTTTATTTTTAAACACACTCATTGAGGTGTTGGTATTACCAAAACCAACTCCTTTTGAAAGTTTTGGATTTGATAATCCCACAACTTCATTGAGTCGTTGCTATTATAAAATACCTCCAAGGCTCCTCTTCGAGACTTTTCTTGCACATGGGGTAATCCAAATTACGATGCAAGTGATAATGATCAAAGTGATGAAGAAGTTGCAAATGCTTGCTTCCTGGCTTCAAACGATGAAGAAGAAGATGTTAGTTCTCAAAATATATTTACTTCTTTTGGCAATGAGTTTACTTTTAAGGAACTGATGCAAGCTTTTGATGAGTGCCAACGGGACCTTTTTCGGACCATTAGCAAGAAAAAGGAACTCAAGGTAGCCCCTTGAAGCATCTTGGAAAGAAAACAAATTTTTAAAAACCAATCTCGAAAAGCTTCAAGGACAAAATGAAGATTTTCAAGAACAAATTGAAACTGTGTTAATTGAATAAGAAAAGGCTAGGAGATCGAGGAGCCTTGGAGGTATTTTATAATAGCTACAACTCCATGAAGTTGTGTGATTATTATCAAAATCCAAAACTTTCAAAAGAAGGAGTTGGCTTTGATAATACCAACACCTCAATGAGTGTGGTTAAAAATAAAAATGAAACCTTTTCATCAAACCAAGCCTCAACTTCAAAATCAAAAGTAAAGATTTGCCATTATTGCATGAAAACCAATCGTATTGTGACAAAATGTTCAAACACAAAATTGGTTCAAAAGCAAAAAGCTAAAATGGGCTCACCCAAAGGTTCTAACTCATCGGAATCCAAGAAAATTAGATATAAAAAACAAACCCATTTGCAAGAAAATAAAGGAAATAATGGTGGATATTATTTCTTTTATTATGATGAAAGACGGAAGGTGCACAGACTCCTTCCGAATCAGACCAAGACAAAACCTGTCTACTAACATAAAGTCTTTGTGGATTGAAACCCAAAACCTAGATCAAAAGTTGATTCCTCTTTGACTAGGTGAAAAACACCACCCTCATAGTAGATAGTGGGTGTTCAAGACACATGACCGGCATGAGAACATGGTTCACCTGACTCAATGAGAAAAATCCATGGACATGTGATGCTTGGAGACAAAACAAAGAAAAAGATTGTCGGTAAAGGTATGATTGGTATTTCAAGTGATTTCACAATAAATGATGTTTATCTTTTGAGAGCCTAAAATTTAACTTAATTAGCATTAGTCAACTTTGTGAAAATGGCCACAAAATTGAGTTTAATGCAACATCATGTGTGTTATACGGCCAAAACAAAGATGAAATCAGTTTTTAGGCTAAAAGAGATGGAAACTTAGCTTGTAAAAGTTTAAATCCAACGACTTGAGCAACACAAAAATTACTTGTCTTAACACTTCACTTGAGTTTTCTACTTTATGGCATCGTAGGCTAGGAAATTCAAGTTATGATCTTTTATGAAGACTTTTTTCAAATGATATAGTTGTTGGATTACCCAAGATGAACATACCCCCTTCCCGTTTTTTAAATGCATGTCCTCTTGGAAAAGAACACAAAATCTCTTTTAAACCTATAAAAATGGTTTAACTGCTAGACCACTTGAGCTATTGCACAGGGGCTTGTTTGGACCCATTGATGATAGGCACCAACTCCAAGGTAGAGAGGCACAAATGGCAGCAAGGTAGAGGGAGGAAATTATAAGGCTATATTGTTGAGGTTTTGTGCAAGGAATGGAGGATTTTGAGGGAGGAAAGACTAGGGACGAAAAATTGGCAGTGGGGGAGGAATATTTTTAGGCTTTTGTTTAAGTGGAGAAGTGGAGAGAAAGGTGATATTAAGGTGAAAGAGGGGAGCAGGCCGAAAATAAGGGGGAAGAGAGGGTGAATAGCAGCTTAATATTTTCTTTGGGATAGGCAAACCAAGTTGGTGTAAAAGAGATATTACACACTTTTACCCTCACTTGGGGTTCAATCTAGAATTTAATTAAGATATAACACACTTAACCAAATATCTAGAACCTAATACTCACACATAAGGAAACCAACCTTAAGATATACTCCCTCCGTTCCACAAAACCCTTCCGGTTTTGACTTTGGTAAAAAATAAGGAAAGTGTAATTTTGGTTGACTTTCCAATTTTGCCCCTGATGTGATGGAAAAAAGTAAGATGTGATAGTTTGATTATTAGTGAAAAAGTATGATGTGATAGGTAGGGTATGAAAAAGTAGGGGTAAAAGTGGTTTTTTAATAGAAAGTGGAAGTGTTTTATGGAAAGCAAAAAAAACGAAAGAGGAATGGTTTTGTGGAACGGAGGGAGTAGAAATTAGGTTTCTTTTTGTCAACCATAATTAACACTTAGGTTTCTTTTTGTAAAAACCAAATTTAAATCTTATATAACCAAATATTTTCTTTTGTTAGCATGTCATCTACTGGGTTCAGTCCCATGCTCTTGTTTTAAAACTTTTTTTTTTATTATTATTTTTTTCAAACCAAGGCTGAATCATTTTAAGAATAATATATATTTATATATTGCAAAAAAATTAATATGTTTCACACCAAAAGCATATAAAGGAAGATATATATGTATATAAAGTATAAATACGTCTACAACATATTTTTTTTCGTTTTTACTTTGTTGTATATGGTGTTTAAATCAAACAATTATTAACTTCAATCTTTTAATGTTATTTAAATTCAAGATGTAATTTAATAAAAATTAAAATACTCAAAAAAATATGTTAACATGAGATATATGACTAAAGGTTATGGTCAACGGGCACACCTTCGATGTTGTTAACTGAAAGGTAGATGAACAGAACTTCAGAAGTACCTCCTCGCTATCACGCTTCATTGTCCTCCCAACACTCTCTCAAGATCAAATACCCTAAACTAATCACCCTAGGCCTCTATTTATAGGCAGAGGGGAGGGGAAATGGATGGTTTTCATAAAAAATATCATTTTTATTTTAATTACAAAAATAGTTAAATAATTAATGTTCTTTTAATGATGTTAAGTGCATGAATTGAATGAACGGGTTACACCATTTAGGCGTGGGAAGGAAAAGGGAAAACTAAAAGTTTTCCTACTCTGTTTGGTTAGTATTACATGTCTGTTTTTCACAGTTTCGGCTGCCAAATATTTTTAAAAAAATATAAAACTTATACTGTTGAGTTCTATATTTTCACACGTCATTTTAACATAATTTGTTTATAGAGAAAATAGGCTCACCTGAATGAATAGTATTATTTGGATAGTAGAGAGCCAAAAGTTATTTTACTTCTTTATTCAACCCATCAAACTAATAATTTGATCATTAAAGTGTTAATCCTAAGTGAAATTTGCACTAAATAGGACTAAAACATAATGACTTTCCTAATGCAGGACTTAAACTTTTTTATTCTCTAAATAAGACTTAATAATGACCTTATGGGAGGAATAATGTCCAGTAATGCTAGACATTTACTTGAATAATGACTACTTGATAATGACCAAAAGTCCTACATTGGGAAATAAAAACATATGGTCCTATATTGGGAAAGTCATTATGTTTTAGTCCTATTTAGGTAAATTTCTCTAATTCTAATTTGTTATTACTTTTTTCATACATATGGAATAGTGACTTCTTTAGTAACAACTTTTATTAACATTTAAATTTTTATTATTTTTTTGTATATATATTTTTTATTTTTTTAGTTTTTTTAATACTTTTCATTTCTTTGTACTAGAAGGTTAAAATTTTCCAGACCGATTTTCAGGGCGTTACAGAAGCGCTATGTAATGAATTTTCAAGAATTATGACGAGCGAGTTTGAGATGAGTATGATGGGAGAGTTGAATTTCTTTCTTGGGCATCAAATCAAGCAACTTGAAGATGAAATTTTCATAAGTCAAACCATGTATGCAAAAGAACTAGTCAAGAAGTTCAACTTTGAAGACTCAAGGTTTACTCAACTCCCATAAGTACGTCAATAAAGCTTAATAGTGACAAAAGTGGAATACCCATAAGTAAAAAGTTATATCGAGGTATGATAGGTAGATTACTTTATTTGCCTACATCAAGACTCGATATAATATTTTCAATTTGCCTTTGTGCACATTTCCAATCATCACCCAAGGAATCACATCTAACTGCCTTCACGTGGATAATTGGGTATGTCAGGGGAACACAAATATGGGTTTATGGGTTTAGTGATGTGGACTTCGGAGGGTGTCGGGTTGATCAGAAAAGCACAAGTGGTACATGTCAATTCATAGGTCATGCACTAGAGTCTTGGTCATCCAAGACGCAACATTCTGCTGCCCTATCCACCGCCGAAGCGGAGTATGTGGCTATTGGTAGTTGTGTTTCTCAAATTTTATGGATGATGCGAACACTCGGTGATTTCAACCTAAAGTTTTCTAAAGTCTCTATCTATTGTGATAATTCAAGTGCTATAAATATTTCTAAAAATCTCATGTTGCATTCTAGGACTAAGCATATAGAAATACGAAATCATTTTATTCATGATAATGTTGCCATAGGTGATATTTAAATTGAATATGTTAATACACTTGAACAACGTGCCGAAATTTTTACAAAACCGTTAGATGGAAAACAATTTTTACATATTTGTCAGGAAATGGGAATGCTTCAATTGCAATGAACTTAAGGTTCTTATACTCCTATTAAAGTGTATACAATAATTGATCAAGCAAAATGCTCAGTACACTTACCTAGAGGTCGACAAAATGTTGGAAGCAATGGTACGTTACCGTTACCGGTACCTCGTACCGTGCTCACGGTAGGCGCTATCGATCACCCGGTACCTTGGTACCATTAGCACATAGGTACCTCCAAAACGGTTGGTTTTTTTTTTGAGTTTTCAGGGGTCTGATCACGGTAGGCCAGACCATTGCTTTGGTACCCAAATACTATCATCACGGTACCTAGGTACTGACCATCAATTTCGGGTAAGACCTGCTTAAAACCATAGGTCTGCCCAGTTCATTCCATTCTGCTAAGTTCCGGTCGCTACTACCTCCCATCTTCTCTCTACCATGCGACTCTCTTGAGGTAACCCTTCACCTATTTTCTTAAAATTCTTTTAATCTTAGCTTCAATTCATCAAATTCTTCCCTTTTTCTAATTTTTATCTCAATTCATCTTCATCCCACTCTTGTTCGAGAACATGATCGAAATTGTTCCGATGCTCATATCAGGTTCAAGGGCTGTAGCCAGCCGAATGTTATCGAGGTACGTGTGTTTAAGCAAGATTACATCCCCTTCCCTTTCTTGAAATCATACATGAATAAAGTTGCGGTCACTTTCTTCAACTCCCAGCCCCAGTGTATTCGAACCTCGTTCACAAGTTTTATGACTTGTTGAAATACTGTACTAAATCCACTTCAATCACCACCGTTGTAGCGGGTAAGACTTTCAGTTTCAACGCCGAAACGCTTGCCGACTACTTCCATCTCCCTCTTGAAAGGCTAACGATGTATTACATGAAAGGGTAGATTTCGGAGTCAAGGGATTTTTCTATGGATCTTTGTCTTCGTGTACTCAATGACATTCCTATCGAACACGTCTTCGAGGACTCGAACTATACCATCCGTCGCTCTAAGGTTCAAAACTTGACCAAAAAACATTTCATTCTCCTAAAAATTGTTAAGGAGAATATCATTCACGTCCTCAACAAGGACAAGCTTGTTGGGATTTATGAGTGCACCCTTCTCTACTACCTCCTTACCCACAAAAATATTAATCTTCCATCACTAATGATCCAACATATGTACAAGAGTTCCAGTCGCCTCAACAAATCCGATGACATGATTCTCACCCACATCTTCGCCAAGAATGACATCCTTGAGATTCGTCCTTCGGTGTGATTTCTTGATACAAAGTGTCTTGGTTATTATGGTCTTGTCAAAATTGGGGAGATGTACTACGTGAAGAGAGAATTCCAAAATCTTGACGTAGCATCCTGAATGGAGTATGGTCTCCGTCGCTCCATGTCATCCATTCCATCATCCTCTCATTCTCAAAAACCCCGTGGCGTTGACGACAAAGAGGTTCCCATTCGAGCTACCACGAAGCTCTAACGTTCCAAGCTCATGCATCATCATTCTCAAAAAGGCTTCTTCTTTCAAGTCCTCGTTCAATAAAATCAAGAAGTTCTTCATGAAGCATGTCATTGATCTGATTAAGATGATACAAGACATCCTTGATGATCTTTCTGAAAGGGTGAAGAAGATTGCAGATCATGAGAACCATCAAAAGACGAACCAAGATCGAGCCTCTCTTCGCAAACGATTGGTTTGAGAATTGGCAAAATTGATCAAACATTTCTTATGAGTTTTTAAACTTTCTTGACATTTGGTATGTATGATTATGACATTTATGCTTATGTATGCATAGATTTGGATTTCATGCTTGAATGGCGTGGTTATGATTGTGTTGAATGCCTATTTATGATATGTTATTTTCCAACTTTTTGAATGTTGCCAAAAAGGGGAGAAGGATTAGGCTTTCATTTGCATGTGTTTAGGAGGAGTTTTGTGAAAAACCTAAGTGCAAAAACTTGGGGGAGTTTTCAAGATTAAATATGCTTTGAAGTTATGTTTGTGCATTTGTCTATGATATTTGAAAGCCTTATTTGTCAACATATAAAGGGAGAGATTGTTGGCCTTGAATGTATACCTAGTATCTGTTTTGATGTGCCAAATAAGTTTTCCAAAGGTACTAAAATCTTTTGCAAGAAAAACCAAACGCCAAACCTCTCCTAACTTGATTAGCATAACCGAGAAGTACTCCTAGGAGTGTAGAAAAATTATTTGTAAGGATAATGATGTATTAGATGATTGACTTGTGCCCACTAAAAATATTTTCTATAATATGTTAAACATTTTCTTATTTGGGGTTACTTTGATAAAAAGAAATACAAAAATCAAGTTTTGGAAAAAGAAATCAGACCTCATGGTACCTTGATACCACCTACACGGTACCTCTGTATCGCCGGTATCAAAGGACCAGAAAAGGGTCCCATTTTGAGCCAGGTTCCACCAGATAATTTTTTCAGTTTTGGCGGTACCCCAGGCAGTAGTTCATTCCGTGCCCATGTTACCTTGGTACCGCACGGTAATGGATTCCTCAACCTTTAAACCCTTAAACAAAAATTCTCGAGAAGTCTCGAACAGTTAACAAGAAGTGATTTTTGAAACAGATGGAGTATAAAACAACCACGGACTATTTTTCAAAATTGTAAAATATTTCAATCAAATAAATTAGAAAAAAAATATTTTCACGAGCTCGAATGATTTCATATACAAACATAAAATAAAAAAGTGAAAAAAAATTGTCAAATATATTTGCAAATTTTATTTAGAATTATATGATTGCTAATATTTTTTTTATTCTTATATTAATGCAGGAGAGAATAACCACTGGATTTTTTATGTTTCTTTTAATATTTTTGAACCATAGAATTATAGAATCTCTTATCTAAATTTTTATTTTTTGAATTATTGGGTTGGAGAGAATAGAATCATATTTGTTTAATCAATGTAAAGGAGGAGAATCATATTAATATAGAGGAGATGAATAAAAAAACGCTAATCTAAATTAATGCGGGAGAAGAACCATAATCTTTGATTTGGAGGATATAATCATAAAATCCCTTATGTTTTTTATCAATAACTTTTCTAAATTATTGTGGGGAAAGAAGAATTATATTTTTAAATTCATACGAGAATCATGTTAATGCGAGGAGATTTATCAAATTCTTTTCACAATGTAGGCTAGAAAAATCAATTTTTTCCCTATCAATGAGATTTATAATTTAGAAGTAAGATCAAATGTTGGAGAAACTTAAACCATAAAATAATTTTGAAGAAAATTGTACCATTATATATTTGAGAACAAGGATCAAACATCTTAATTATGTAATAATATATGGTTAAACATTGAATAGTTGCAAAAATTGTCTTCAATGCAATTGTAATATTAGAAACCAAAATCAAAAGTAAAGTTTACACACCCTAAATAAATTATGTATCATTTGATACAAGTTTACCATTAAAGTTTCAAAAATTATAATTTCCAATGCTATATATTTCATTATGACTATTAATAAAAGTCAATGTCAAACATTGTATTATTTTTACCAAGTTGGTATTCGGTTACGATTAATTTTATAATTTCTCTCTACCAAACAACGAACACTAAGACTTAGAATCTAAAATATAAGAGTTTTAGAAAAACTTAGGAAATAGTAACAGAATTAAACAAAATTTCATTTAACCCCATGCATGGCACATGTAAAATACTTGTAAAATTAAAAAATGCACCATAAATTATATGAATGGAATACTAATTCAGCAATACACAAACGAAAATATTTCAATGCAGATAATTACATCAAAAATACATATTTTCAGTAGCCTATAATTAATAGTAATTGCATTAGGGATCTTGAGAAAATTTTTGCAAACCAACATTTTTTAATTATTTTGGGGAGCATTTACTTGAAAAAAAGGGTTCCTCAGTCCCACCAATAGATTGAGTGGAGGTAAACAAAACTATAATCTAAGTATAATTGATAGAAAGTGACTTGTCAAAAAAACAAGAGAAAAAAAAAAGAAAGTGAAGCATGCCTTGTACGTGCAATAATCCCGCGAAAAGCAGTCCCTCTTACTTGTTGTTGCCAAGAGTGGAACCCTGGTCACCTCCTTTTGCTCTCACCTTTAAACCATCTGAGCTACACCACTCGGGCAGAGAGATTCACGCGTTATTATGCCTAAAGGTGCAAGAAGATGAAGGAGAACAATGGCTCGTGCACTGAAAATAAAAGGCATTAGAGTGTATATTATGCCTATGTTTGTTCGATGCCAAAAATAAGTTTGGATATACAAATGCTATTGACTAACATATAACTACATTAGGATTTAGGGGTCATGGAAGGAGCCTTTCCTTGCCCACCATTTATTTAAGGGGGCGTTTGCCTAAGATCTTTATGATGACGAGGATAGATGTTGAGGTGGAAATACAAGGCATGTTAATACTTGTATTAAACATAAATTCTTCACAGCTGAGCTTTTTATACCGAATGATTTAATTTAGCAGGAATGAACTGTTGACTTGAGTGAATACATTTACCACAAGCACAACTGGGCAGGCAGCCTTCGGAACTCCAAGGGCAGATCTGCCTTGAAAGACACGAAGGGGAAAGTAGGTTCAGTAAAAAAACAATAGAATAACCCCTGAGTATCTAGTTGTAGCAAAACAGCAGTTGCATAATCTTATCCATGGGCCCTCTGGTACCATCTTCACAATAAAAGAATTGTGTTGCTGAACCATTCAATCAGTGGCAGCTGGTAACCAAGAAAATCAAATCCTGCAAATTGCAAAACAATCACTCATGATATTATTTTATTTTTAACTAGGGATAATCGTGACAATAATCATAAGCCAAGGTTTGGTTGGGAAGAAGTTGCAACGCTCAAAGCCCTTTGCAGGGAATGTGTAGGCATGAACATGGAACATCCAAGTTTCTCGACATGACAGGGACATCTTAGAACAGGACCTTCATTTGCTAACATGATAATGAAAGAAGAAGAGCATCTCACTGGGATATCACAATTAACAGTATTGAACGGACAATCATGAAGATAACAGCATTGTAATTGTGTTTTCTTAAAATACATACATCACCCAAAAGTCACAACATGTGCCACATAGACTAAGAAAAGAGAGTGAGTGTGCGAAAGAGAAAGCCAGTCAACTATCACTATTCACTACTATATGCACACAAAAAAAACTGTTCGCAATGATGAATATACCTTGAAAACAAACATTATTGATTTTACACAAACTACAAGTTGCCTAAAAATCAGAAAGTGATTCAATCCACGTACACAGTCGTCTAGGAAGAAAAGTCTAACCCGAGCCTTGACAAGATGAATAGAGAGGAATGTGCTCTCAGGCCCCAGCTTGCCGCCTCTTGATGCATCCCCTTCAAAACACAGCCTTGAACAAGTAGAATGAAATTATTAATCTCCCTCTCATAGCCATCCTTTCATATTCTAAGTGATACAGCAGGAATGCACCCAACTTGAGCAACTAGTATTTAACATTTCACCTGCATGGAAAAAGCATGTTATATCGCCAACCAGCAGATAAAGTTGAGACTTGAGGGACAGAAATTTAGAGGAGAGTGAAGCATACTTTTCACTTTGCAGAAGAGATGCGGCGCAAAGAAGAAATCCAGCTGCCTGCACCTGCACTGTCGCCATTTACATGACCATCATTGGTGTTTTCAGTGGGTGAAGTTGGTTTAGTTGCATTGGCTCGTCCAACCACAGCAGGAGACAACGAAGTCGATGCCATGTATGTATTGCTCAGCATCTACAAGACAAATTACATTTTTAGGTTCTCTAACTTATCCAAAGGTGAAAACCACAAATAGGCGTTGGATCAATTCCTATTTTAATATGAGTAAACACTTGAAATTGCTGTTTATTATCAAAACATGACATTAGTTTACTCTCATCTCTACAAGAATAAAAAAACCTAGTCTAATACAAAATCTGCTAGGACCCCACAAAGAGGCTGTTTCCATAATACCTTTAATTCAGTGTTGCATTTACTGCCCAAAACTTTATACAAAGCAAGGAAAATCTAATGTGTCATTTTGATTTAGTCCATTATTTATCCAAAGCTAATGCATTGTTCAAATGACACTTTTAGCTACATCATTAATAGTCGTATAACGAGGTTTGACCAATGTTAGAAAAGGTGTTCTGCCTTGCACCCTCTGGCACGTCTTGATGTGTTTTGGGAAGTAGAAGCTCTAAGGCTAGGGGTGATTGCTAAGTCTCCAGGAAATTACACATATGGCGGTGATGGCATACGCCCACTACACCCTTGTGCTTGAGTCATGAGAGGATCGTAAGACGTAAACCTTGATGTTTTGAAAAACATTTGCCAGTAAATAGGACCAAACCAGTCAAACCATTTAAAACATTAGCACTACAAAGACTCGGGACTTCGAATTAGGGTGCTCTCCTAATAGCTCAACTTTGTTCCAAGTCTAAATCTCATATCGTTGCAAGCTGGTAAATTCAGCATACGTGACACAGAGACAGGACATGTACGCACACAGAGAGATCAAGATCAAGAATAGGGAAACACCAATTAGGGGACATTTCAGGAACAGGAAGTAGCATTTACATAAAGGGCCCCATAGTGCTCTGTTCAACAGCAAAGAGGTCCCTCCCACCCCACCCTAGGTTCCCCCCCCATTATGGTACAGTAATTTCTGTAGCATAACAGCAAATCCAGGAGACGGGGAAGCTGGGGGTTTGTAGAGCATTAGACACCACTTCGGATTGAATGGAGCTCCGTACCACCCTCAAATGGGCCAGGTGTCATACTATGACACCCTTGAGTGAGGTCAAAAGGAACCGCACTCACTTTTATTATGTTTTCAGTTTTATGTAAGTTTCATCCACATGATCACAGGTCCACCAACACTGCAGATATTTGATTTGATTGTGTCCACTTGTGTTTTTAGCTTCCATGTTCTTTTATTTTATTTGCATTCAAAAAACATACTAATTCCATTTTGTTTATTTTTAAATTTATTTCGACCAATTCTCCATTTTATTAATTTATTTGGTTATTTTATACTCCCTCCATCCCACAATGTTTGTCTTGTTTTGACGTTTTGAAGTCAACAAGGATCAACCTTTGACCTGTACTTTAATAAAAATAATATTGTATATTAATCAAATAAAACAATATTTTCAAAATATTTTACAAGATAAATCTAAGATAGTTATTTTTGTAATGATATCTAATCTCACTTTATGTAAGTAATGGTCAAAGTTTGTCATTTTTTACTTCAAAAAGTCAAAAAAACACAACAGGACGAAGGTAGTATTATTTTATTATTTTATTACTATATAAAATGATAACAATTCAATGTATTTTTTTTCATTATTTATAGTTAAATTTTTAAAGTGTTGACTAGAACACATTTCATAGAAACATAGTTAAGGAGCACTCCCTCCGTCCCATAATTATCTTCCTTCTTTTCTATTTAGGTTGTCCCATTTCCCAAACTTTTCTCCTTTTTTCCTTTTAAGGGAAAAGTTATGTAGTCCATATCATTTCTCTTTCCTCTACACAAACCGACATTCTACTTTATCTAAAAAGTTATGTAGTCCATATCATTTCTCTTTTAACCTCTTATTTGTTTTTGTTTTTTTCTTTTTTATTGTTACTTTCCATTGAATATTTTCATGTGTTTTATGTTTAAATTTTTCCTTAGTTTCACCAGCTAAGCTTCCAGATTATAAGTGTGTTTAAAAACTTACCCCAACCTCATAGCATTTAGCATCAGAGCTTATGGTGGGATAAATACATTCCTGAAATCGACCTTATTGGTTTTCTTATATAGGTTTGTCCGCATTCTTCATTCAAAACTAAAAGCTTGTTCTTGTGTGTTCTTCATTTTCATCACATTAACATCATCTTATTAGAAAAATGTCTTTTTTTGTGTTCTCATGTGATCTATTTCAAAAATAAATATATTTTTGTCTAGTTTTCGCCTTTCAAAACCTTGACATACATACATACATCCATCCATGCATGCATCCATGCACACATGCATCCATGCATGCATCCATCCATCCATACATACATACATACATCCATGCATACATCCATGCATGCATCCATCCATCCATCCATCCATCCATGCATCCATCCATCCATCCATGCATCCATGCATGCATGCATGCAGGCATGCATGCATCCATCCATGCATCCATCCATGCATGCATCCATCCATCCATGCATGCATCCATCCATGCATGCATCCATCCATCCATCCATGCATCCATCCATGCATCCATCCATGCATGCATGCATCCATCCATCCATCCATCCATACATCCATCCATGCATGCATGCATGCATGCATACATGCATGCATGCATACATCCATCCATGCATCCATCCATCCATGCATGCATGCATCCATCCATCCATCCATCCATCCATACATACATACATACATACATACATACATACATACATACATGCATACATGCATCCATGCATCCATGCATGCATGCATGCATGCATGCATACATACATACATACATACATACATACATACATACATACATACATACATACATACATACATAGGAGCCGAACACACGTCCCATGCTCCCACTGAGATTCACCATCGCCTCACCACTGTGCATGGCGTGAAACGAAGCACCAGAATCCATGACCCAAGAGTCAACATACTTTCCATGCTGAGTATCAATGCATCACTATCATCATGAGATGCATTCCCAACGACTCTGCTAATTCCGTTTTTCTTGTTTGGGCATTGACTCTTGACAAACCCAACTTCTCTGCACCCAGCACACCACTTTCTTTCCAGCCTTAGACGAGCTCTTCCCACAACTCCCACTGTTTCTGTAATTACCTCTTCCGCTGCTAACACTGAGTAACGCAGAAGTAGATCCTCCACTAGCGTTCCTCCGGCGAATGTCTTCACCCAAAACACTATCCCGTATTCGATCAAACTTCAAGTTTCCTGTTCCAGCAGTTTCAGTAACCGTTGTCACAAATCCCGGCCAACTATCAGGCAAGGAAGATAACAGAATCACAGCCTGAGTGTCATCGAACTTCATGCCTACTGATGACAACCTCAACAAGATCGAATTGACCTCATTAATGTGATCAGCAACTGGGCTGCCCTCGTTCATTCTCATCATGAACACTCTATTACCGGCCGACGGTTTCTCATACATATTTGACAGAGCTGTTAACATACCACGAGCAGTTGTTTCCTTCATGATATTAAACGCCACACTCCTTGTCAAAGCTAGTGTAATTCTACCTCTTGCCTTTTTGTCCTTTGAGTCCCAAATTGCTTCAGCAGCCTTATCCATTCCATCCGGTTTCTCTTCCAGTACCATGTCCAAATTGCACTCACCAAGCAACGCCTCTATTTGCATTTTCCACCATGCAAAATCAGTACTGTCGAACTTCTCTATTCGAACCCTCCCGTCCTCGGCCATTGCAAAACGAGAGAAAAAAAACCAGAGAAAAAATGAAGGAATAACGGCCTGAAACCAAGCAACCTTCAAAAGAAAACAAACCCTAAAACAAAGAACCCGAACCAACGAGTACCAGGTTCAAAACCAGAAACCCTAATCGCCAAGTTCACCTAAAACCGACCGAACAGCCCGTGACCAGATCCGAACCAGCCTCTGATCAGATCCGAACCAGCCCCTGATCAGATCTGAACCAGCCCCTTAACCGCAGCAGCAAAACAGCAGCAAAAACAATCTTGAACAGCCTTCTTCCTGCGATTGATCCTGTGTAACCGTGTGTTTAACCGAACCAAGGCTCCGATACCACTTGTTAGGAATCAGAGATCAGAGGCGATCAAGCGGAAGCGAACAAACACACACACAAATAGAAGAAAATAAGAACACGAGATTTAACGTTGTTCAGTCAGTAACCTACTCCACGGGTTGCAACTAGGGTTTATCTTTTATTAGGTGCTCACAGATTAGAGTTACATGATTGGGTATTTATCAGATACTCCCTCCGTCCTATATTGTTCTTCCCAGTTTGACCGGGACTCAATTTTAAGGGAGTGTAAAAATTGCTTTGACTTTCCAAAACTGCCCTTCTCTTACCTCTAGTCCTCTACTACCACCATCATCACCTTAATGACCTTATCTCCTAAGTGCATTCTTGTTTCACGGTCCTATGTCCACAGCAACATGGCCGGCTTCGTCAGTCTTCTCGAAGTCTGCAAGAGCGTGAACCCACAACCCGCCATTATCAGGGCATCTTCAAGCTTCGTCTACGGCTTGAACTCCAAAGTCCCCTTTTCTGAATCGGTCAGAACAAATCAACCGCTGAGGGGCTGAGCCTCTACGCCGCCACCAAGAAAGCCGGCAAGGCAATTGCCCACACCATCGTCTCAACTCTCATCATCCCTCACCTGGACTTTATGGGAATTAGATCTGAAGCTTCACCTTGGCCATCGAATTTCTATCACTCATTTCTTGGAAACGGATCGAAAGCTCATCCACTAATCTGAGAATCAAAATGAAATACTTCGTAGTTTGCAGGAATAGAAATCTAAAAAAGTTTTGAGTTAGGGATGGAAGAAAAATGGGACGGTGGTAGATCTAGGGTTGGTTGGGCGAGGGTTGCGTAAATGGGAAGTTGGAGAGAGGTGGGTGGAGAAATAAATAATTTGGGGGTATTATAGTCATTACATGTCCATTTAAGGTGTGTGGGAAGATGATTTTAGGACGAAGAAAAAAGGGAAGTGGGAATATCATTTTAGGACGGAGGGAGTATAAATTAGGGTTAACAACTTGCTAAACAAGAAACAACTAATGGGCCCTTTAATTAATAACTAAAACCGGCCCCCCATATTTCTACCCTTTAACCGACCGGGCTTAAAGCCCAAAGCTCTAAAGCCTTCACCGAATAACCCAACACTTATCACTGCTCGGCTCCTCTATGTCCTTAGAGAGGCATTCAAAAGTTGCATTCTTTGCCCTCGTAACCTTTAGCTTAGCTTCCCTCCGCTCACAAAGCCGCTCTATCCTCCTTAGCACTACAATCCACGTACCTCACGTATGCCAGCTTCTTGGCTTCCACCTTGCTTCGAACCATATCACTCCACCACCGGTCACCTTTATGCCTATTCATAAAACCACAGCTCACACCCAACACTTCCTAGGCGGCTCCCACATGCTAGTGGCCTTCTCCAAAAGACTCCTACGCGCCTTTCTCTTGCACGGGCACCTTTAACTCTACAATTTCTCCCCCGAAACTCCTCCACTGGATTCGTACTGTGCCACCTATAGCTCGCCTTTGCGTCACCCGCTTGATCATGACATCCATCACCAGCACAAGTGCTGGGTGGTAAGGTTCTAACTTGGGACTACTTTAGAGTCCTTGCGGAGTCCCGATCACTCACACTGCGCAGGAGGTAATCGATGTGAATCGTCCTCATTGTGCTAACAAAAGTAGCCAAGTGATCATCTTATTTAGGGAAACAAGAGTTAACAACCACTATATCACTCGTTCTGGCAAACTCCATGAGTGAAACTGATAAAGCTTGAGTCAAGTTATTGAATTTAGAATGAAAAAGTGTACATCAAGTCCCAATTCGAGAAGGGATAGTCTCCAGATTCTCAAAGGAAAATACCATGAAAAAAATCACACAAGAAAATAACATGACTCTAAGTAATAAATCCCACTCCGAGGGGAGTTGGGTGACTGCTACCTAACCCCCCCCCACTCAGCCACTTAGTGGGTTGTTTGAAATGCCCATTAAAATTTTGAGCTGCTCCACTTCTGCCGGCCCACCCTTTGCCATCTTCTTTTTCCTTCTTGAATAAACCAATCTGATTGGAAGCTTATCACTACTACCCGCCCGGTAAAACAACTTGTCCTCAGGTCGAAATGAAGGGAATTGAGCTCGCAACAGATCATAACACTCCCGGGTAGTAGCTTCCTCCATTGGACGTTGACACCAAGAGATGAGTAACTCCAGCACATGTTGACTTGCTTCCCATACCTAGTGGTGAGAGAGAACTTCTTTAGGCTGCACGTCAAATTCCCAGTCCTTAGTGATGGGGAGGGGAGCAATAGGTGAAGTTAGAACTTGCCCCCCAAGCTGGTTTCAGCATTGATACATGAAATACCAGATGAATGCGAGCATCCGGAGGCAATTCCAACTCATACGCAACAGGCCCCACCTTGCTTGTAACTTTGTAAGGCCCAAAGAACCGGGGAGAAAGCTTATCATATTGCTGTTTAGCCAAGCTTTTTTGCCTATAGGGTTGTATCTTTAGAAACACCACATCCCCTACTTCAAATGAGAGTTCTCTGCGTTTGGTATCAGCTAGAGATTTCATTTGATCTTGAGCTTTTTGCAGATTCTGCTTTTAAGATTTTCAGCATATCATCCTTTGTTATCAAATGATCTTCTAAATCAGCATTCTTAGTTTCCCCAGCGATGTAAGGATGGAAGGGAGGAGGGTCATGACCATAAACTGCCGAGAAAGGAGTGGTGTTGATGGCAGTGTGATACCCAGCATTGTAGGAGTACTCGGCCCATGACAGACCGAACTCCATTTGTGAGGCTGCTCGTGAGCAAAGAAACGAAGGTAAGCCTCTAAGCATCGATTGAGGACATCGGTTTGTCCATGTGTTTGGGGGTGGTAACTAGTACCCAGCTTCAAAGTGGTCCGACAGAGGCAAAAGAGCTTCTGCCAGAAGTGACTCAGAAATATCACATCCCTATCAGAGATAATAGATCGTGGAAAACCATGAAGGTGAACAATTTCCTTGCAAAACATAGCAGCAACTCTTTTGGCTGTAAATGGATGAGTGAGAGGCAAAAAGTGAGCGTATTTGCTTAATCGGTCGACCACCACGAAATTGGTATCAAACTTGTTAGATGTGGGTAGCCCTGTAATGAAATCTATAGAGATGTCTTCCCAGATTTGCTGGGGTATAGGAAGTGGTTGAAGTAACCCTGCTGGTGATAAAGTCTCATACTTCTGCTGTTAGAATGTAAGGCAGTTCTGCACATGGATGCGAACATCTTATTTCAGTTTGGGCCAATAGTAGTGCAATGATATGCGTTTGAGTGTCTTAAGAAATCCTCCATGGCCTTCCATCAGGGTACCATGGGCTTCATGCAAGAGTTTGTCGAAATTACAATGCATCCCTTATAAAATAAAGTTTGACGTACCATTTTGAAACCTGGAAAGGAAGACGCGTCGGTAGACAACCCCTGGATAATTTTATGGGTGTAGGGACCAGTTTTTAAACCCTCATGTACCGCTGCAATATCCACACAATAAGGGATTGCAACTGTGAGGAAATTTACTTGTTGGGGTCTGCGAGAGAGTACATCGGCCCCCTTGTTTTCTCGTCCCGATTTGTGCGTAACTGAAAAATCATAAGGCATCAGCTTCATCAGTAAACGCTGTTGTTCATGAGTGGTAACCAGCTGCTCCAATAAGAACTTCAAGGTGCAATGATCAGTTCGCGCGAAGAAGTGTTGTCCCATAAGATAATGATTCCATTTTTGCACAGCTACGACCAAAGCCAATAGTTCACGTTCATATGCCGCTTTAAGGCCATTAGATGGTGAAAACCCTTCGCTAAAATAGGCGATGGGGTGGTCTTCTTGAATTAAGATGGCCCCAACTCCCTCCGATGCGGCATCACATTCCACGATGAAAGGCAATGAGAAATATGGCAGGCGGAGGACAGAGGCTGAAATAAGCAACTGTTTCAGTTTAGTAAAAGCTGTGATTGTCTCATCAGTCCACAAAAACCCATCTTTCTTGGTCAAGGCTGTCAGGGGGCGTGCAATCAACCCATAATGCCGTACGAAACGGCGATAATATCCTGTTAGGCCCAAAAACCCCCGTACCTCAGAACATTAGTAGGTATGGGCCACGCTGGAACTGCTGCTACCTTCACTTGATCAACTTGCACCCCTGCGGAAGTAACCAAGTGTCCTAAAAATAGAACTTGGGATTGACCAAAACGACACTTGGAAAGCTTGGCAAAGAACTTCTGTTTTCGTAATAGTTCCAGTGAAGTTTGTAAGTGCTGGCCATGCAACTCCCTAGTACGGCTGTAAATCAAGATATCATCGAAAAAAACAAGTATAAATCTGCGCAAATAGGGGCGGAAGAGGTCATTCATGGCTGCTTGGAATGTTGAGGGGGCGTTAGTTAATCCAAACAGCATAACCATGAATTCATAGTGTCCCAAATGGGTCCGGAAGGCTGTCTTCTCACTATCAGAGGGATTTACCCGTATTTGGTAGTATCCTGATTGCAAATCCAACTTTGAGAACCGTCTACCTCTTGCACCTTGGTGCCCACCCATCTAGTTTCTTGCACACACGCCACTTGAACCCTTCTCCTCTTGAGAACTTGCACCAGCCCAATCAACTTACCTATGACGGTCCTTATGTTCCACAAGCCCAAATCCACATGGGACACTACTCTACCCCTCTATGCCAATGTTTGAAATTGCATGGCGTAACCCGTTATATGGTGTGCCTCATGGCAATCTAGCCATTACGCAACAAGGGTTTGAGATATTCCAAAAATATAGCGGGCAATGGAAAGAGTTTTTTAAGTCGTACGCCATGAGGCTAATAGAGGTGCATGCAATTTCTCTCACACAAAAAATTAAGAATTGGGCTGAATAAGCAATTTACTTAAAACCATAAACGTTAAACTGAATAGTATAGCCTTAACCCTAGTAGATCACCTCTCCAATTCGTAGAGCATCATTTATCTTCTTCGATTGCTCTGCACCTCTACTCTTCTAAGGACTCTATTCTCTGCCAAGTAAGTTTTATGGAGTATTTTTATTATTGTTTATTTTTTACTTATTTGTCCGGAATCAACATCCGCCTTATCACTTCTTCTATTCTTGTTGATTTTTATAGTATTTTTTAAAGTTTTACAGAGTATTGACTTTATCTCTTTATCTGATCCGCATCCAGGCCACTTTTTTTTGCTCCATTTGTGTTTACCTAGACCTAGCAATCGGGTCAATCGGTTCGGTTCCGGTTCGGGTCTTTTCGGTTCGGGTCTCTTTCGGATATATGTTATAATCGGTTCGGGTCGGTTCGGTTCGGGTCAATTCGGTTCCGGGTTTATTTCGGGTTGATTGGTTTTCGGTTTCGGTTCGGTTTCGGTTCGGGTTTGTATCGGTTCGGGTTTGTATCGGTTCGGGTTTATATCGGTTCGGGTTTTTATCGGTTCAGGTTTGTATCGGTTCGGGTTATATCGGTTCAGGTTTGTATCAATCATAGTTGTTAATGGCGCTCGCCATTCTCGCCAAAGGCGCTTATGGCTTTGTGGCGACCTTCTGACGCCATACGCAGGCCTGGCGAGGCGTTTTCCGCCAAAGTCGCCATAGGCGGTCGCCATGGACGCCAAAGACTGTGGAGAAAGGCGTTCGCTATTTACGCCAGACCGGTCAAGGGTTTTTTTTGACTTTTTTTTTAAAAAAGCCCGCTGACCAGACCTATATCAGTACACGATCGAAGCACTGCATCGATTCAACTGCCTCGCCTCTGCCTCTGCCCCTCGCTGTCGATCAAATTCTGTTCGCCGACTCAGCCTCCTGCCCCTTCTCAAGTGCTCCTCAGCCGGCGCAACCCTGTTCCCTCTCTCTCCATCTCTCCGACTCACTTCTTCGCATATTCAGAGCCAGCGCAATACAGACACTTCGCAGGTCACTTAGACGTTTTTTTTGTTTTCTTATTGTTTTTTTTTTTTGTGAATGGTTATTGTTTCTTTACAAATACTTTGCAGGTCACACTTAGATATATTTTTTTAATTTTTTTTGTACAATAGTTTTTCACCAATGGCAGAAACTTCCTCCAAAAGTAATCGAAAGGATTTGGCTTGGAAATATATTCGACTTGAGGATCCTAAAAATACAAATAATACTACGTGTATTTTTTGTAATAACCGCTACACTGGAGGAATTAGTAGAGCAAAACGACATATTGTTGGTGGGTATTCTGATGTAAAGGCATGTGACAAAGTGTCTGATGTTGTGAGAGAAGAGATTCGATCTTTTATGGCTGAGAAGAAGAAGACAAAAGATCAGATTGTGCTAGACAGGGAAGTTGATCGACAACGATTTCGTGAAGAGGCTTTGATTGACTGTGGAGATGATGATGAAGATGATGATGGGATTGGTGAATTGGCTAAATCTAAAAAGCCAAAGTTGAACAGGAAGGGGCCTATGGATATGTTTGTTAGTCATACTCATACTAGACAACAAAGTGCTAAGACAATGAATAAACAGAAGAACTTAAATGAAGAAGCACTTAAAGAGTTGCGAAGTCGAGCATGTTCGGCCATATCAAGATGGATGTGTGATGCTGCTATTCCTTTTAATGCAGTGAACTATGAAAGTTTCCAAGAAATGATTGATGCAATTGGAAACCATGGCCCAGGAATGAGAGCTCCATCTTATTATGAGGTAAGAGTTCCTCTTCTCAAGAAAGAAGTTGAGCGTGTGAAGAAATCCGTGGAAGGCCATAAAGAAGAATGGGCGAAAAATGGTTGCTCCATTATGTCGGATGGATGGAAAGATAATAGGGAGAGAACATTAGTTAACTTTTTAGTTAATTCACCCAAAGGTAGTGTGTTTGAGAAATCCGTTGATGCTTCTGAGTATTCTAAGACAGGTGAAAAGGTCTTTGAGCTTCTTAGTGAATTTGTTGAAAGTGTTGGTCCACAGAACGTGGTGCAAGTGATTACTGACAATGCTTCAAGCATGAAGAGTGCAGGTTTGATTCATGACTCCTTTATACTTTCCTTAAAAATTTAAAAAGTACATATATTTAGATTTTATGTTTTTATTTTGATGTCTTTTTTAGTTTATTTTTTTTTTCCAATTTTTTTGTAATAACAGGAGACTTATTAATGGCAAAGTATAAGCATTTGTTCTGGACGCCTTGTGCAGCTCATTGCTTGGACTTGATATTGGAGGATGTATTCAAAGTGCCAGATATTCGTAATGTTTACAACAAAGCATTGAAGATGAATAGTTTTATTTATACTCGACCAGGCCTAGTGAACTTGATGAGAAAGTTTACTAAGTTGGATTTAGTGAGGCCGGGTATTACTCGTTTTGCCACTGCTGCACTAACACTTGGAAGGATACACTCGTTGAGGAAAGAATTGAGATCTTTATTTACTTCAGAGGCATGGACAGGAAGCAAATGGGCACAAGAGCAAAAAGGCAAACAAGTTCAGAGGACTATTTTTTCTGAAACATTTTGGCGGGGAACTTTGAAATCCCTCAAAATTGCCACTCCTCTACTCAAAGTTCTTCGTTTAGTTGATGGTGAAACAAAACCTGCAATGGGTTATATTTATGAGGCGATGGACAGAGCTAAAGAGGCCATAGCAAATAGTTTTAGAGGAGATGCGACACA